TGAAGAAGCAAAAGAAAAAGGTAGACAACCCAAAACAATCATTTTTGCTAACTCCTCACGATCTTTCATTTTATCATATTTCACAAGACCTCCAGTAGTAGGGTTTAAAGTTGATTGATTTCCATCTCCATCAGATCCCCATTCTATAGGATGCTCAATTCTCATATGTCTACTAAGTGTCTCAGTCCCCCTAATTGTCCTCCAGTCTTATGTTTAAAAGTATCATTATAAAGTTTGCATTTAACTCTATCACTATTCGGTATGTCTTCAAAAAATTTCCAAACCTTACTTCTTTTCTACGATTACTAGTCGGGGCCATTTCTTTAAGTGGTATCTCATCTTCCATTTCTAATTCATTATCTTCTATACCAAAATCATCCTGGAATTGTTCATAATCTATATTATTATCAGGTAATATTTCAGGAATATTTGAAGAGATATTTAAATTACTACCAGATGCTAAAGCTGAAGTACTACATCTTTTTTTATTTCCCCGATTAGTAACCTTGTTACAAACTCTTTTTGCAGCATTAAGCATATTGTAAAAATTTAACTGCTAGCAACAAATAAATATGCAAATAAAATAGTAAATAAGAGAAAGAGCTGGAGGGAGTGCACCGAATTCGGCAATAAATTGAGAACTTGATGATTTCACAACTCCAATGTTACCACGAAGAAACGACAATCGTTCCAATTTTGAAGTTCAATTGTTCAAACTTCAAATAATAAATACTACGATAAATTAAATTCCAAAAAATAAAATAGCCAAATAATTGATTGCACTTTAATAGGTGAAGAATGAAGATTGAAGAATGAGAGAATATGAGAATTGAGATTGAGAATTGAGAGATGAGTGAAGAAATGAGGAAGGGGGGAGGGGAGTATTTATAGTTGTTCAAAGGGGGGTTAATTTATAAAAAAAAATAAAAAAAATTGGGTTATTTGTGCAATTCAGCCGTTGAGCAAATGCCAACGATCAGAAATCTGGGTCCAGTTTTTCTTTTAAAAAAAATTACCGTTAAAGTGGTTTTGGCCGGGCCGGTTAACCGGTTGAAGAACACTATTCATTGACCGGGATTGACCGGTCCGGGTAACCGATAGTTCAAAGGTAAACGACGCAAACCGCCCTACACCCTTAACCCAGCCCCCTTCTACCGGTCCGGGCCGGTTCCGGTTTTAACCGGTCTGGGCCGGTCCGGAACCGGGCTGAGTTCAGCTTGAGCATTGAACTTGTTCTTTTCAAGTAGAAAAAGATAAGCGTGAAATACTTTTTCCTTGTTTCTCCCTTCTAGCACAAAAATTACATAATGGGAGAGTGTGTGTTCAAGAGTGACCATGAAATGAAGGATGACAAAGAGCTAATATGATATGACATAAGACTTTTCACTTGTAGATGAAATTGAGTTCTGGATTCCATGACTAAAGGCAAAAAGGAAACAATAACAGGAACTTGAGTCTCAGGCTTATTTTTACAATTTTTTACTACTACGTTGTTGAGTTGATCATGTCATCGGATATGTTGAACAAACCCTTGCATACAAAATTCTTACTTCGAATTATAAATATATAGGGAGAGATTGTGATTGAGGAACTGAAAATTATCATCACTCAACGGATACCTACCAACCTACCTACATTAGAAACACATTTACAGAGCCTGACAAATCAAATAATTGAATTCCTAACAAAATCAGAGATATCATCAGCTGTTAGTTGAGTGGTATGAGATTTTTACTATGACCGACAAAGGAATGTTTACAACATGACCTTGATTTCCCACTAGTCCAATTCTTCCAAAGCTTGCTGTACTATTATTCATGGTAGCGTTGAAGAACACATTCAAGACCTGCTGCTGTCCACTTGCAACAAAAAATCGCTTTGGGATAACCTTAACAGAAACTCCATAAGGTGCACTCCAACCGACGATATATGTTTCATTGCCAGCTATGTTGGTCATTGCTCTTTGAACTTTTCTTGATTGGTTCAGCTTTGATATTGTGATTGAAGGCATGTTCAGGTCAATTCCATTCATAGTAGAGACCCCACAGCTCTCACCAGTGTAGTTCAGAAGCACAGGAGCTGATCCATTTATGCCACAGAGGAATGCCATGTAGTCGTTATAACCTACAAATCAGATTTCTAAATTCCATGTCTGACAGAAAAAAGATATGCTACAATGACGTATTCTGAACAAAGTCCGCCCTAAAAATAATTAGTCATTGTATTCGGAAACATTTTTAAATGATGAACAAATTTGGGGAGAGTCTATGACCTGGAATCGCAGTTTGATTAGAAAATTCAACTAAATAGACAAATTTATAGTTTGAATTAGAGATGCAAAAACTACCCTAGAAAATTTTAAACTACCTAACCTATCCTCTCAGTGACACTCCTTGCCAATAGATAGCGAGATTCCAGAAAATTTTAAACTACAGTAAATACCTCTATAGCGATTCTTAGCACTCTACACTTGTAGAAAGATCAACCTCTCATATTTTGAAGAACGAGTTTAAACTAGAAAACATTCTTATTATTGCACAAATGATGTTGATACAAGACCCAATTCTAAACTTCACAGACTAAGAAGGCTTCCTTATATAGAGGTTGGAAGAGAACAAGGATACCATAATTGAGTTTCCTTGTGGAAACACAAGGCATAGACATAAAGACAATTATTGAGAACAATAATATAGGTTAAGGACAAACATTGACAACTGGCATTTACTTACTGATAGCACACTCGACTAAGATCTAAGTGGAGAATAAGAAAACCCTAATTAATACATTTGATTGGTTGACGCGTCTTGTCTGATGGACTGTAAGGTTGATTGCACAGTTAAAGGTCCTTCGATCCACCAATCTACAAGTCTTCTTTTGAGCAATGACTTGCTCCGTTGTCTTTTACAAGTAGTGCGCCTGAACCACTTGTTTCTTTTATCTTGCCGTGTGAGCGAAAATTCTTTTTGATAAGAATAGGAAAAAGCTGATTTTTCTGATCTACCTTTCCTTGGTGGAGTATAGATTTGAATCCACTTATGTATATTATATGTATCAATCTCATTTAGATCTTGAGAATCCTAGAAAAACAGATTATTTAATTCCTTTAGTGCTTCATCATGCACGTTTAATTTTTTGAAACTGGTAAATAGTAGTGCTTCATCGTGCACGGTCCCAATATGGACGATTAGAGGTCTACTTCCAGCTAGCAAAATCTCCTGCGTTTGGCCAGATTTCCTTGGGGATTGTGTTCTTGGAAATGTATCTTCTGAGCTTATTAAAAAACAAGCGACACAGACGCACTAAATGAAAAAGACGAAGGAGCATGCCTCCGTTCAAAAAAAGACATGGTCTAGGTTGGTGGATCAAAGAGAGATTGTCAAGTCCACAATCAACCCCATCTGTCGCTCCATCAGACGAGGACATTATTAAGGTTGAGTAGATTTCTTAAGGTTATTTTGTTCTCTTCAAGTGTGTGTTGTCAATAAGTGAATGTCAATCGCCAATGTTTTTCCTTTATTATTGGTTTCAATAATTTTCCTTGTGTCTTGCGTCTATCTATATGTCTATCTCTCGTGTCCCATAAATATATCAATTATCGTATCTAGAAGGATTGTTCCCACCACTATATAAGATAGAGTTCTTAGTTTGAGACTCCTAATCAAGTTCTTTATCAAATATCCTTTGTGCAATAAAAAAAATCTCCCGTTAGAACTCTCTTAGTTCTTTCTTCAAACATGAGATAATGATACCTAATACGAGTGTAATGTGTTAAGATTAACATTAGACGTACTTACTTCAGTTCATAGTTTTGTCTGATAATTAGGCCAGGCAAATTGTTGTAGGGATGTCCTTCGGAGCTACACTAAGCAAACCTTGTTTGGAAAACTTGCATCTATAATTCAAACATAATTCGTCTACTCAATTCTCATCATTCTGCAATTCTAGGACTACACTCACCCCTGAGATTACGAGATCTGTCATTTAGAAATGCCAATGACCAATAGTTTCTCCTCAACATCGTGTTAGGATTTGTCCTGAATTTCTAATCTATTAGGACTCTCTTTCTTAAAGGAATGGAAAAAGACTCCTAAAAGGATTAAATTTCCTTAATATGTCTTATCCTTTTCTTGGAAGACAAGTTTTGCATATCTATAAATTAAGGATCTCTACTTCTCACAAGAGTACAACAAAAAATATCAACAATGTAGTCATTAAAGAGTTTTGTTTAGGGGGAGATTTTTCTCTCGATAGTTTTCTTCTTTTATATTAGTTTTATCATATGTAGATCAATTGACCAAACCATTATAAACTATTATGCTTAGTTTAGTATATTTTTCTTTTGTCGTCTAATTTATCGTCCACCAAGCTTTGTATTGTTAGTTTCCGCATGCACCATGTTATTTTGATCCCAACACATCGTGGGCTAAGAGATCAAGAAGCAAAGAGTAGCTTACTTGTATCAAGAATAAGGCCTGGATCCAGTGCTGCAGTAGCATTCACGAATCCACTTCCCATGTCAAAAGGTGTTGCAGGAGACTGGTTTGAATCTGGGTTAGCATATGCACGCTGGGCTAATATTGGGCCCCCATATTTATTACGGAGAGAGGCTGTTGTAGAAAGGGCAGATCCAATTGCAGCAGGACTAAAGGTGGGGAATCTTTGCTTAATCAAGGCTGCTAAACCAGCAATATGGGGCGCAGCCATGCTTGTACCGGACATCATTGCAAAGCTTTCACCTAACTTATAGGAAGTACTTGAGTCAGCAAATAAACAAATTTTAATGGTATTTATATTGCTATATGAGTACCCCCACACTTTTAGAGGTAGTTCACGAGAGCATTGTTTAGTTCTTTTGATAAGGACTACCTTGAAATTCAATCGATTCAGCACCATGGGAACTCCAAGCAGCCCATACAGAATTTCCTGGAGCAACTAGGTTGGGTTTCAATATGTCTGCATCATCCACAGAACTGTCTTCTGGATCTGGTCCCCTTGCAGAATAGTACATAACCTTCGGAGCAGATAAGCTGAAATTAGCTTTTATTCCCCCTGAAATGCGGGCTACTGCCCCAAACTTAACAATTTTCTTTGTAGTTTCATCTTCCTCCAGTGAAGAATTGTAGTACTGAAGTAAAATCTGCCAAATTAGTAAAGACCACCAAATTAAAATCGAAGATGAAAACTTTTGTGCAACAACACTCACAGAACAAGTAAACATGTAACCAAAACAATCTGTCCAAGTTGATCTGCTCCCTAAAAGCATTTACACATCCAAACTCACCTTAGAATCATCTTGGGAAGGAATTATAATTCCAGGCAATCTCATTGGAACCGGATTAAGTTGAAAACTGATAACAAAAGGATCCATGGAAAATACAACTCCAGCTGCACTAAGGTTCTCAGCAGTTTCCGAGGCCTGTTTAATGGTGGAAAGCCCAAGCACAAACCGGATGGAGTAGCTACAAAGTAAGAGATTCCCTTGAACGAGAGTTTGATTAAACTTACTGGCATCTTGGCATTCACTGACATACATATCTTTAGCAGCTGTATCATTCAAAGCATGAATTGCAGAAACCAGCGTGTACATGCCATCGGTTCCAGCTGTATACAAAAACAAAAGATTCTGAGAGAGCAACATTAAAAGGAACTACATGGAACTCCTTTAAAGGTTGTAAAGAAGTTTAGTTGGTCAAGGATACAATACAGCACCACAACTATCAACTAAAGTTCTGTTTTCATTGTGTCCAAAGAGAGTAAATCTGGGAAAATAAGGTTGCAGCATTTCAGTCATTGTATCGACTTGAAAACTAACCAACTTATGCTCAAGGATACAATACAGCACCACAACTATCAACTAAAGTTCTGTTTTCATTGTGTCCAAAGAGAGTAAATCTGGGAAAATAAGGTTGCAGCATTTCAGTCATTGTATCGACTTGAAAACTAACCAACTTATGCTCAAGGATACAATACAGCACCACAACTATCAACTAAAGTTCTGTTTTCATTGTGTCCAAAGAGAGTAAATCTGGGAAAATAAGGTTGCAGCATTTCAGTCATTGTATCGACTTGAAAACTAACCAACTTATGCTCAAGGATACAATACAGCACCACAACTATCNCCAAAAAAAGCTTTTATAATTGAAAAAATGTTAGTGCACCAACGCCAAATTTACCACAAAGTACATGCCTAATTAGGTATACATTTTTTATGGACATGTCAGGGAAAATCTCCAGCATCTAGCTTAGGCAAACACTTTTTGGGGGATATCTGAAAAAGAACCTACATTATTGGAGAAGACTAACAGCACGGAATTTACATCATTGAAAATTATCAACAAGAATATCTCCAAGAGAAAAGGTTCTAGGCTGCTTGTGTACTTTCCTTAACAATTCAAGAGCATCCGCTTCCTCAAATTTAAAGGCAATCCTGTGATATCATATCACATTCTCCACTGATTTTGATAAGGAAATATTTATTGAGATTATACATGATAAGAGATTATATTTCACTTGTCCGAAAAAGATAGCTCTACTTTTCTTTTTAGGCAGTCCTAAAAAATAGTAACTACTTCCCGTAGATGAAAGATAGTTCACCTTTTACTTTCTCTCTGTTCTTGCAGACCTAAAGTAATTAAATAACCATGCAGTTCCTCTCTAACAGTTAAAACTTTTGGAGGCGGTTCACGCAATTTATTGTGGCATTGGAGCATTTTTAGGAAATAATAATAAACATGTCTCGTATCTCTAACAATTCAACTTTTATCCGAGGCAGTTCACGTAATGTAAAATCAGTAGCAATGTCAGGGAGAAGATATCTTATTAAATTATGTAAAATACATCATCTAGCTTGAAATGTTTGAGAGGGGACACTTATGTGTGCTTATTTTAGGTTTGTCATATTATACACAAGTCTAATTATTTTTCTTGGGCTAAGTACATAATAAAGGGTGGCAATGAGGCTTGAATTCAAAAGTTCTGCATGCTTTTATACCATGTGAGAGATAAGAAAAAATATTAGAAGAAAGCATGAAAAACTTATGACTGACTGCTAACGACACACTTTACAATGTATACAGTAATTTATCTAATGTCTCACACTACTTGTACATGCTTAAATAAGTCTAAGTCAAACTATTTAGTCAAAGGTAATAGACCATGTCACCTTTAATATTACTCATTCTTTCCCAACTCACTCGGGATTGCAATCGAGAGAGAGGAACAATTGACCTAGAGTCGCATTAACTATCTTAGAAGTTCCAACAGGAAATTACTTAATTTAGTGTAACAACAACAACATACCCAGTATTATCCCACACCGTAGGGTCTAGGGAGGGTAGTGTGTACGCAAACCTTACCCCTACCTTGTGAGAATAGAGAGGTTGTTTCGAAATTACTTAATTTAGTGCAGAGCAGAATAATTGGGTTGTCCACAACCACTATAGTCAAGTGGTTGGTTATGGTACCTGATATTTGGTGCCACTTCCCTTAAAAGAATTACATAATTTTAACTCTACTCTTTAACTTCTTTTACAATTAAATTAGAACTAATTAAATGAGGGAGGGATTACAATAATGAGATACTTGTGGAAAGAATCAATCCGTTCATATGCTCAAAATAGAATTAAATTTATCAATCACCAAGGAAGACTTACGCGCAAGTCCAACTCCAGATATGGTGATGTTGTTGCCCAGCACTATAGAGTTACTGTAAACCCTGTCATGGGTTGAAGCACCGACAGTGAAGATCCATGGGCTGAAGGAAGCAACAGTCTTAGGTGATGGTCCAGTATTGCCAGCTGCTTGTACTACAAAAATGNATATATATGAGGACAAATGAATGTGCCCTCCATCCTTAGAAACTTGACCTGCTTTCCATTCTATTCTGTCCCAAAAACTAGACCAATTTCGGCAGATACATTTTTCACCTTCCAACAATTCAAATATAAAATAGCACTACTATTTTATGTTACTGAAACTTTATGTGACATTTTCCCAAGATATGCTAACAAAATCTGCAGTATATCTGTTTCCTTTCCTCTCTGTATCCAAAAGTCAAAACCAGCACATCCTTCTCTTTTTATTTTTCTATAAATGTTTTCCACTATCTAGCTAAAAATGAAGACTTGCCTGGTCTATGGCAGCAACGACATCTGCAGCAAAGCCACCGAAACTCTTGTATAATGCCTTGTAAACTGCAATGCTAGAAATATGGCATGTAATCAATATCTGCTCCAATAATAATTTGTATCACGAGATATATAAGGAAATTAACTCCTCGTCTAAAACTCTGAATTGAAAAGAAAGCACTGGAGGCCTTGAGTTATGAGCACTTCAGTTTTTTTTTTTTGTGATGAAGTAAGTGGTATTATAAATGGAATCAAGTAGATGCATAATAGCAAAAGTACAGAAGTGAGTTTGTTATCTCTGCTAGAATGAGGCCTATGCTAAGGATAAAGAGCTAATAAAGTCCAAAAGTTTGACATGAGAATCTACAGGGGACAAACTATCCCAGCTTTGGAAAGTTAAGAAGATAGATCAGTAATAGTAGATTTCTAGTCAATTTCCCCAAGTGCTCACAACTCAAGCACTTCCTAGTACTCAAGGATCCCCCTCCCCTAAACAATGGATTCAGATTTCTCTAACTTCGCTAATTTTTACTTTTCAGACAACATGTGCTAATTGTAATGTTTGGTGAACTGCTGAAAAGGTGATCGGAATCATTTTGGTACAAATGAACCATTTGCTAAAGTTAAATTGTCAAATGCTCTTGCATTGGAGCATATTTGCATGCAAAATTTAGGCCCACAAAATACACACAACAAAGAGCTTATAGAAGATATGGAAAAGAATTACAACATAAGTTGATTGCAACACTGCGATTCCCTAAATTATTAGTGATGATAGCTACATTTTTGGAATCTCTTCTGCATGACGAGCATCACCTCTCAGGTTGATATCGGTAATCAAATATGAAGAGAAAAATTAACTTCAGATTTCTTACTGTGAATGAGGAGCCATTCCACTAGCATTTCCAAAGTTATGTCCAGCTACAATAACGGGGATCCCATGGTTCCCTGCCGCAATAGAAGCTGTATGCCTGTTCAATTAAGAAAATCAAGCCACTTGGTGGTAGATACTATTTTCAGTAACTTAAAACAACGACCCAGTTAAATCCCACTATTGGGGTCTGGGGAGGGTAGTGTGTAAGCAGACCTTACCCCTACCCCAAAGGGGTAGAGAGGCTGTTTCCGAAAGACTGACAACTGAATGTTCAAGACATAAAAATTGATGATGTCAAGAAGGTTTGAATCAAGCAAGGTCCTGTCTTTTCTTTATTTTTCTTACTGTTGCTTTTTCTTTTCTGTGTTTTATGGAACCTTGAAAATCAAGTTGTGGTTGTTCAATTACCAATTATTTGTTGGACAGAGTGAATTTGATATCATATCAGCAAGGTTTCAAATCAGGTAACTGTCATCAAATTAGACATTGGCATCTTCTGCGTCTGTTGAATTGTATTCTTTCTGGATTTATTGATGGAAAGGTGGTCCATTTAACATTTGAAATAAATGAAGCCTCAGCAATTGGATTTCCATAAAAGATATTGGATATAGCATCTCCCCAGTCCAGACTGCACCACATCTTAGAATATCATGCTCAACTGTTGATAGTTTCATGAATGATGCATTATGGCCAACAAAATAAGAACTTTACATATCTTAAAGAGGCTTCAGAGATGCCTTGATCAAAAAGTGCTAATCTGGGGTAGGCCTATTAAGTTTCGTTCTTTTATTTTCATCGACAAAGTAGGGCTGTGATGAAGTTAAACGGAGAAACATGGTTAGTTGAGGATTCATATAGCCGACCCCAACTTGTTTGGGACCGAGGTATAGTTGTTGTTGTTTATAAAGTAGGCCTAAAGTTTCATATCATTATCATGTATGAATTTTGACGATTAAGATACTTACAAAAAGCTACAGTGAAAATGGCCATATGGTAGAGAACACTTACGTTCCGTGACCATCACCATCAAAAGGAGAAGCATAGTCCTTAGTTGCATTAAATATCCCCCTGGTTATAGCAGATGCTGCAAAATGACGGGCACCGACAAGCTTCCTGTTGCAAGATCCGGATGGAAAATCTTGAGTGACCTCACAAATGCCAGAAAAGTGCTCGGGAACAGGATATGTTTGCTCATGTGAATTATCGGAAAAGCTGGGGTGTGTAGGATCAATTCCAGTGTCAATGAAACCAATCACAACGCCTTCCCCCGCAGTTCGATATCCACCTTCTTGAGCCCATGCCCCACGAGGTAGACCTAGGAACTCTGGTGTATGTGTAGTAGCAGTTCTGACGGAGAAATCCAAAACAATATTTGACACTTCTCTCCTCCTTGCAAGCTTGAAAGCCTTCAAATTGAACAAATACATGTTCACATAAGATATAACCATGATCAAAAGTCACAAAATCCTGTGTAATGAATTAACTATGTATGACGTGTTAAAGATAATTCTAATTTCAACATAACTGCCAACATACCTGCAGAGGTGTTACAAGCACAGCAAATCCATTGATCAAGTAGTGGTAGCTGCAAACTTTTAGATACTTTTCTCCTCTTAATGCCCTCCTCAATAAAGAATCATGCATTTGAGAAACGTAGGAACCATTCATTCGATCTATATGCGAAACATTGCTGATTCAGAAAGAACAAAAAACACTCAGTAATATGACTGAAGAAGTGAACTTCTCAATTTCACATAAGAAGAAAGAAGGCAAGGAATTATTAAGTTAGAATTTAGCCATGAAGAAGTGTAAAATTTACCCCAAAAAATCAGTTAAGCTTCATTCCGTAAGAATTCTAACATAATAATTCACTGCATTCTAATTCTCAATCAGTCAAAACTCAAAACACTAAAAAAACGGAAACTTTCAGATAAATTGCCTTTTTAACTTACAAAATCCTGCATACACACTACCTTCACTAGGTAGGGTTAAGGTTTGCGTACACAGTACTCTCCACAGAGCCAACTTGTGGGAGTATACTGGGTTTATTGTTGTTGTGTAACTGGGTTTGTTGTTGTTGTAACTTACAAAATCAAGAACTTCAAACACTTTAATAATTACAAATGCTACAAAACAAATCGAATGTTGAAGCCAGTAAAAGGCTTTAATTACACATGCCCAAAAGTTGCAACTAAAAACACCCCCTTTTCATTGAACAAAATAGCTGAAATTGAACAACCAAAAAGCGGGGTAAGCACAAAAAAGGCCACTCGTTAGAAGCAACCCAGTTATTGTTATACTTTGTTGTTGTTGTTGTTGTTAGAAGCAACATAGAAATAAAGAGTACATTTATGGGTGTAACAACAATAACTGCTACACTTTAATACCAAAAAAGTTGGGGTCAGCTATATGAATCTTCAATATTCTTACCTCTCCATTTGAAACCATCTAATTCACAACATTCAATAAGAGTTTAATTATACACACTGACGATATAAAAAATATTTATCTAATTAGTTCACCTAAAAGGTAATTGCAAGTAACTCTATTTAATAGAGTCGATTGATAACCTATAATAAATGGTAAGTATTCATGCTATAACAAATTAAATTAGACTGATAGTGTAAAAAGTTAGTTACACGGTCAGTGTAATACAGTTAAAAAAAAGAAATAAATACCTTGGTATGTCCAGTCTGGTAACTCTACCATTTGTGGAGTGGTGTTGATTCTTCACCCTCAGTTCTCCATAAAAATGAGAAATAGGAGGTTTTTTCAGAGTCACAATATACACTGACGCAGTAGCTGAATCAGCATTCTCTTGAGACCAGCCACAACCCACAAAATTCACCAAAAATAACACCCCCATTAAGAAACTGAACCAAATAGACCTCTCCATTTTGAGCATAACCGGAGCTCCAAGAAGGAGGGTGAAACTGGACAAAAGTCCTCACCAAAAACAACTACTCATTTGCTTGTTCAAGAAACCAGAAGAAGAAGTAAACAAGAGTACAAGAATTGTGTTAGCTAAGTAAAGGGTACAAAGCAAGCTCAAAAATGAGCATTTATGGACTTCTTTATAGAGAGAGAGAGAGAGATGTATTTAATGAGCTAAAGAAAAGAAGAGAAGCTGTGCAACTTTCTTGGGCAGTGTGCATATGAACGTCTTGTGTATTCGTTAAAAAATAGTAAATTTTTCGCATATTATGGTCCCTTATGTTTTAGGGGTGGGTTTTAAACGATCCATTATAAATATACTCTGTGCGTTTTTGGTCCTTAAATTGAGAAAAAGTGGTCAATTTTGGTCTCTAAATATTTAAGAAACTCTCATTATTAGATTTAATGAGACCTATAAAAAATTAAGATTTAACATGAACTCAGATTTGAAGCTGCACTTTTGGAAGTTTTTGCTACTTTTGTCAAAATCTAGAAATTGGTACACTTTTATTAAATACAGTTTCTGCTGTTTAATCTATTTTTGATGTTTGGTACAGTTTTAAGTATTACGGTTCCTAAGATTTGATAAGACCTCCTTGATCTTTCAAGTTAAATTTTGTTTTACAGACTTCATGTCAAATTTAAGAGCCAAAATTTATTAGATACTTGATGGACACTAAAATTTAACAAACTTAAGAAACTAAAATTACTGAGAAATATATTTAAAAGACCATTTTAAATGTACCCCAAACTTAAGAGGTCAACTTTGTCATTTTCTCAACAATATTACGTAAGGAAAAATCGTATTTTCTTTCCAATTGTTTTTGTCATTTTGCTGCTGTCGGATTTATTACTCACATGTCTTCACTTGTTATAACGGTTATATTTATCAATAATTTTCTATACCGTTTCTTATGCTGAACAACACTATCTTATAAAATGAAACTTGGGATTCTGAAATTAAAAGAAAATTAATTATTTTTTGGCCTTCCTAAGTAGTATTTTTTAATAATATATTCAATTTTCTCATTGTTACTGTAAATATGCTGGCACTTCGAGAAAAGACAGATCTATGTTTGACCAAAAGGCGCTGCAGAACTTTGTCGCCAAGAATGTTATTATTGGATACTGAGTTTAAGAAGAAAAAAAAAATCTGAAGCTTGGGACTGATGAACAATATTTTGATGAGCGAATTGTGTGCTTTAAATAGAAATTTATTCGCATATATGTTTCACTCAACATAATTAGATAATTGGACTAATCAAATCAGACACAAGATCTTTTTTTGGACATAATATCCTTCATGGAATTAAACAAAGGATTCATCCACCAAACTAATTATAATTGGAAAATAATGACTGAGAAGTTGATTATATACTCTTCCAAGTTAGAAATTACTCAAAAAAGGAGAAATTTTCCCAAATCACATGACAGATCAAATCAAAAGAAATGTGTTATCTTACACTTAACTCAAGTTTGGCCATAGATTTTGGCTTTATTTTTTTATTTTTTTTAAAAACATTGTTTGTTTATGAATAATTATAGGGGTATCAAATTACTGAGTCATACCATGAAAGTATGAGAAAGGGTGGTTGAAGCGAGGGTGAGGATGACAGTGTCTGTATCCGACAACCAGTTCGGGTTCATGCCGGGTCGTTCTACCAGAAGCTATACACCTTGTTAGGAGGTTGGTGGAACTGTACAGAGAGAGAAAGAAGGATCTGCACGTGGTGTTTATTGACCTAGAGAAAGCGTATGACAAGGTTCCAAAAGAAGTTCTCTAGATATGCTTGGAGGCAAAAGGTGTATCGATTCCCTATGTTATGTCGATTAGGGACATGTATGATGGGGCTAAAACTCGGGTTAGAACAGTAGGAGGCGACTCTGAGCATTTTCCGGTTGAAATGGGGTTACACCAAGGCTCTACACTCAGTCCGTTCTTATTCGCCCTGGTGATGGATGCGTTAACAAACCATATTCAAGGGGAGGTGCCATGGTGCATGCTATTCGTCGATGACATAGTTCTGGTTGATGAGTCACGGGCCGGTGTTAACAATAGGCTAGAAGTTTGGAGACATGCTCTTGTGTCTAAGGGTTTCAAGCTGAGCAGAACGAAGACGGAATACCTGGAGTGTAAGTTCAGTATTGAGCCGGGGGAAGTGGGCGTGAATGTGAGGCTGGAATCACAGGTTATCCCAAGTAAAGGCAGTTTCAAGTACCTTGGGTCGGTTATCCACGAGGGAGGGGAGATCGACGAGGATGTCACACACCGTATTGGGGTAGGATGGATGAAGTGGAGGTTAGCATCCGGAGTCTTGTGTGACAAAAGAGTTCCAACGATACTCAAAGGCAAGTTCTATAAAGCGGTGGTTAGACCGGCCATGATGTATGGGGCTGGGTGTTGGCCTGTTAAGAACTCATATATCCAAAAGATGAAAGTAGCAGAAATGAGGATGTTGAGGCGGATGTGCGGGCACACTAGGATGGATAAGATTAGGAATAATGATATTCGGGAGAAGGTGCACGTGGCTCCAATTGATGACAAGATGTGGGAAGCGAGACTCAGATGGTTCGGTCATGTACAGAGGAGAAACCCAAATGCTCCAGTAAGAAGGTGTGAGCAGCTAGTTGTGGAGGGCACGAGAAGAGGTAGAGGGCGGCCTAAGAAGTATTGGGGAGAGGTGATCAGGCAAGATATGACGAGACTTCAGATTTCCGAGGACATGACACTTGATAGAGATTTGTGGAGGTCGAGTATTACGGTTGTAGGCTAGGAGGTAGTTGAGTCTTGCCTTACTTTGTACCTTTGTGAGCCTAGTCTGATAGGTTTTTGTCTAAGATAGCTAAAGGCAATATCATGTCTTACTATTTTCTCTTTTCGGTGCAGGACTTATTTACTAGCCATCGTTTTTGCTTTGCATTTTTCTTCTGCTTTTTATGTTCCTATTTTCCCTATGATCTCTGTAGTGAAACTAATATTGTCTCCTTTTGTCTTTTTATTTCTCTTTAGCCGAGAGTCTTTTAGAAACAATCTCTCTACTCTTTAGGGGTAGGGGTAAGGTCTGCATACACACTACCCTCCCCAGACCCCACTATACTGGGTTATTGTTGTTGTTGTTTGTTTATGAAATATGATCGTGTTTTGGAGGGAAAAAATTCAAAAATTTCAAGTTCCCAAAAACTGATATAAGGCAGTTTTTGGATGAAATTTTTTCTTCCACTCACAAAAATTTAACTTTTTTTCAAATAAAATGCATGTCCAACCACAAGTTTAACTTTTAAATTTTTCTTTTTTAACACAGCTTCAAAAACTCATTTTTCAAGTTTCAATTAAATCTATATCCAAACACTAGCTTAAATTGTTGCTAAATTTAATTCTCTCACCCCCTCAATAAGAAATAATTAATTGACATTTTCCAAGATAACTAAAATAACTAAGTACAAAGAAAGAAGAAAACTATAAGGGAGCGTGGAAGGGGCAAAAACACTTGGTATTTATTCCAAATAAAAATATAGAAATACATAATATTTGTCTTTTAATACTTAATCATAGTTGATTAATATATATTTTTATCTCATTAAATTATTTAATTATAGTAAGTTAGTATAATAGGGCGTAAACATCAAATACAAATAATAGGTCATGAACTGCATGGCCTTTTTTGAGGTTACTATTAAATCCTGTCCTCAGTTAGTCCAGTGTGTTAATTTCGCCTTTAGGAGTAGTTGGACCAAATTCTCTTTTTCAGACAAATTTAGCTCAGTGGATTAACGGAACCAGAAATTAAACAGCGGTGTTTTTATTTATTTATTTGGTAATAAACAGTGGCCTCAAAAACAGCAATATGCGCAAACGCCTCAGGTTTGGTATAGTGGGTCAAATCATAAGATGATTTGGACTTTTAGACTTTGACTTTTAGTAGTAGACCCATTTGGTTCCTAACGTTACAATGGTTTTATTTTGATGAATTTTGAGAAACCACCGTCGTTTAATGGCTATTATATATATAATTACTTCTTATAGTTACTATTCCGTTATTACGGTAATGTATTCGTTATATTCGTGCTGCTATATTCATGAATACAGCAGCAAAAGACGCCTAAAAATCAGGGCAGCCCAGCTGCACGCGCATGTATTCACATGTATTCGCACCATGTATTCATAAATACAACAACAAAAAGCGCCTAAAAACATGACAGTCCAGCTGTACACGCAAGTATTCACATGTATTCGTACTGTTATATTCATGAATACAACAGTAAAAAGCGCCTAAAATCAAGGCAGTCAAGTTGTACGCACATGTATTCGCGCCATGTATTTATGAATACAGTAACGACAATCACCTTAAAAATAGGCATGTCCAGCTGTCTAAGATAGAGGTAAAACATAAATACCATATTTCATGCCTCAATGATAGTATATACTATAAGTGGTCGTTCGATAAGAGGGATTAGGTGCGATAAGAGGTAGGATTAAATTTATACTTTGTTTGGTTGGAGGTATAAATTAATCCCAGGATAAATTTATAACTCCAACAAAACAAGGTATAAATTTAATCCCACCTATTATCCCATCTATATCATCTTATCCCATCTTATGCCATCAAATGTGATATTATTTTATACCATATCTCAAGTGGTATAAAATAGTACCAGGATTATAATCCCGGTACTATTTTGTCTGCATACTAATCAACCCGTAAATACTTATTTTGCTATAAATAAAAAATATAGCTATAAAAAATAATATTTTAAAATAATTTTGGTTTATAATAAGTAGGGTGTATACCTTTGCTATAGGAGGTAAAAAATTTCTTTTATTTTCTAGTAGTCCTAAAATAGATTGTGACACAAAAATAGTTCATCTATAATATATACTAGGTCTAATAGCTTGTTTGGCCAAGCTTTCTTTTGATCAAAAATAAAAATTTTCCTCAAAGTTAAGGTATTTAACCAAGCTTTTAAAAGAAAAAAGTGCTTTTAAGTTGAATCAGAAACAATTTTTGCGAAGTGAAAAAAAAAAAGTTTCTTCCCAAAAGAACTTTTTGAAAAATACTTTTGAGAAAAAAATACACTTAGAAACTGTCCGAAGTTAAACCAAGATTAATTAGTATTCCTAAGTTGTCTAGAAATAGGCCTGTTAGTTTATTTAATTTATGTCTAATTAGCATTTGCAGTCAAAATCATGTAGGAATATATTTTCTAAATT